TAAACTTAATCTCTATAATACCACCATGAGGTTGGTTCTATTACTATCCCCATTGAACGTGAATAATTTACATACTGGAAAAATAAAGTAACTCATCTGAAATCCTCTAGTTACTGGTAGAACTAGAATTCAAATCAAGATGATCAGAATTGAGAATGCTTTTCTTTGTTACTGTTATACTGGTGGAATATTCCCACAGAGTTCTAACTCCCACCTACATGGAGGATATATTAAACACGTTTCAATCTGTCTTCTATTGAAACCCACTCCCAGAAGCAAAGATAGGTGTCTGAATTGCATTTTTATAAACTTCATGAGTATATCTTAGTGTTCATCTTAGTGTTCAGTGTAATGATACCCTGATATCCAGTAAGAATGTGCATAACTTCATACTGACTTCACTGAAAACTGATTTTTAACCCTCACATATAACCCCTTGCTTAAGATTATTGAGTTCTCCCTGAATTGAGGAAAACCACAATGGAGAATCACTTCTTTACTACATTATACTATAATTGAGAGAGTGGCTGTGAGGGTGAGAGAGAAAAGATTCAATCAGAACCCTGTGACCCCATTAAACAAGGTTTTTTATTTTGCCTCTGCTCTCCAGAACAAGTTTTATTATCCAGTACTGATAGCCTTATTACAGCCACACTAAGAGAGAAGACTAGAGACAATGCATCACTGACAGGCAACTAGGTTATAAAACAGATCAAGATGCTGGACAGAGTGAATCCAAACACCATGCATGGTAACAACCTGACAAGGGGGCTTGGTTCTATCTGGGAATTTTCCACTCCGTGAAGAAAAAGTAATACCAAGATGAGACACCCACCACACCCCAAGAACAAGTATCTAAAAACTGAAGTGAAACTCTCATTTGCAGGTTTGCACCCTCCTCCCACTTCTCCAGATTAGGCCTGCCTATCGTGGGATATAGATTTTTGCGGTGATAAAAGAGGTAAATTTGGAGCAATTTGTGGAATATAGAGAGGACCTTAAACTAAATATGAGTTTCTGAAAATATGCTGTCTTTAAGCTCAGCTTATGACAGCACAACTCAATGAAATCCCTTCTAAATTGGTCTGGCAAGACAGAAAATCTCCCATAGTACTCCCAAGTACTGTAGCTACTAAGGAGCACAGCGGGGTTAGGGGAGGTGGCAGGAATAGGAGAGGAAGGTTTGTCATATCAGTGACAGTATTAAACACTACACAGAGACTAGTCCTATGAAAAGTGGGTACTCAATATATGCCTGAAACAAATATACAAACTTGTCTAACATCCTCTTAAAATATACCATTATTAAAAATAAATCACATTCTTTATATTTTGCCTAACTTTTAAAGTCCACTATGTGAAAGAAAAGAAAACAATCAGCAAGTTTACATTATTATGATGGCCACCGAGGTCAAGGCATCCTTGGTTCCTTGATTTCAGTCAAGGCTCCTAACATACAATAGCCTGTCTGTGATGAGCATATAGCCATATACAGTTGGGAAGGCATGGTATTTTAAAATAGTTTCTACCACAGTATTTCCAAGAAACAATGCTTTCCTCATTAAAACAGCAGCTACAATGCCACGCTTCTATCACCTTCTCCTTCCTTTTCAGCTCTATTCTTGGAGCCTATAAAAGATAACTAATATTTTAAAAGAAATAATGATAAAATAAAGGTATGACGTTAATCCTGGTGACCGTTAAAGAAAAAGAGTCTTCCTTTGATGCTTATCAGCCATAGTTACTCCTCAAAGCATCGTTAAAAATAACACCTATGTCTATAATGCTCCCTTGCTTTCACATGGCTATGAACTAATCAAACCTTTACAATGCTGCAGAGTACGTAAAATGGTGTTACGTAAGAAGTGTCACTGTCTCCATTTTCTGCCCAATTCAGAATCCAGTGGAAATTAATCTTTCTACCAAAAAAAAAAAAAACCTGTAATAAAGTACTCCATCTTATCACAACAGGGGAGAGAATAAAAAGGCAGCAGCAGACGTAAAGGACTCAAAAAAAAAAAAAAAAAAAGAATATTATAGCATCCTGCTAAAAGATAAAACCATTTCCAGCTTGATAAGGTAAGAGCAAAGACATTTTTCCAGGGCACATGGAAGGGAAGCAAAAATTCCTAAAATGAAAAGAAAGCAAAGCAGTTCCTACACAAAGTAATAAAAATTTCCTAGTATATATTTTTAAAAAGTCATCCCAGAGTGAACCAGAAAAAGGTAAGCCCAAAAGGATCTAAAGAAAGTTAAAAATACAATAAACAGGAAATTTCCAGTAAAACTTGATGGCTTGAACACATGAATTTATCTCTCTCCTTTACCAATTCATACCAAAACAATAGTAAAATTAAAATCCATAATAGCAATGAAAATGAGTAGAGAGAAGACTAGAGACAGATAGAAATAAAAATGTGAAGACAGGAGACAAACAGATGAGAGGTCACATTGTCTAGGACAAGTGAAAAGAAAAACCCTGATACCTACATGATCCAAAGCATAAGCTAGTAAGAAATAAGTCAATTCATACTTCAGAATCCCGAAAATACTCAAGAATATGTAGCTGAAGTCCAAAGTGGGGCCACAAATGATATGATTAGTTGGAATAAATTTAAAGAGGAGGTGTTTGCCCCTAGTCTCCCTTGGCCAGCCACCTACCCTGTCCTAGTCCCACCAGAGATTTATTCTCTGAAGCAGTTGAATCAGAGTATTTGACTGGGGCTTGGACACCAGGCAGAGTGGATATCATATTCAAGAGTCATAATGAATGGAAAAAAATCATAAGAAAGTCTGCATAGACAACCAAAGGGTCATCAGTCCCTTCTTGATTGTCTCAGAATAGTGACAGCTAGGTTTACATGTCCTAAAAAATAAACTGGGTACATCCATTTTGGGAGAACTACCCAATAACAAAAAAATAATAATAAATAAGGAGATTAACATTTGACAGTACTAAAATAAGATGACTAGGTCTTCACCAATAGTCCTTAAGCTGAAGCCCACCAATTAACAAGCCACCCAGGCACAAAGCTTCCAATCAACTTTTGAGTACACTACTCACAACATAAACTGAGAGCCAATAGTTTCTTTCCAAGAGGCATGACACAGACCCACCAAAAATCTCAACAGATAAGGTCAAAACAAATAAACAGAAACAAGAAACTCAAAGGAAATCCAGAAATAATTCAAAGAATATATAAAAGGAAAAAAAATTCCCCAAGCTATATTTATTATCTTCAGAAAGATATTAAGTGATATATTATTCACTAAAACAGAACAAAATAATTTTTAAAAGAGCATTCAAAGAATAAGAAAAAGTTCATGGAAATAACAGTTAGTATAATTAAAAATGCAATTGAAGGGTTAAAAATTAAAGTTAAAAAAATCAGAACGTAGAAAAAACAGATTTAAAATAATAGGGAAAAGATAAGCTAACTAGAAAATCAATCCAGTAACACCAACATCCATCTAATAAAAATGTTCTTTTAAATGAAAGAGATTAAAAGAAAAAATTATATAAGAAAACTTGTTGACACTGAAAAAAAATTAACTTGAAAATTAAAAACATCCATTGAATACCAAGAAGGATGATGCCAGGGATAAAAATGAAATCCTAGAAAGTTCCACAAAGAAAAAAGCAGATAAAGAATGAACTGAGAAATCAGAGTAGTCTAGGGATTTCAGTAAAATCTAGGCACTTGGAAAAACAAAACAAGATTTCAAAACTCTAAGAAAAACTTATTTTCTAAACTAGAATCATATAATCAGCTAGATTATTAATCAAGTAATCAATGATGGATAAAAACATAGCCATATGGGCAAATCCCCCATCACCCTTTCTCAAGAAGCTATTGGAGGATATACTTTAAAATAATGAAATAAACCAAGACCAAGACATGTAACCCAGATAATGGGTATTTAACATTTTAAAAAGGAGGAAAAAATTCTGAGAAAAGGAAGTCTTAGGACTATAGGATTAGAGATAAACAACCTATATTAAATTAGGACTATGAAGAACTGCCAGGGCAATCTCAAGTGGAGGAGAAAAACTGATTATCTGATTTGTCGGAGGCATTTTACAGTTTTGTCAAATAGTTTCAGGCCTCAAATTGTGTTTAAAATTATATTAATCTGAACAAAGGAAAAGTAGACCACGACAACTAAGAAAATCAAAAAGTTGTGCAATGAAGGAAATTTAGTGTGAATATAGCAAACTGTAGCTTCACTATGACCAAAATTTGCAGGATCATATGACTGTAAATAATGTATATTAATTTAAGCCAAAAATAGGAAAGAAATATAATGGGGAATAGAAATAGAACAGAGAACATTCTCTCTTGATGTATTCCTTTCTAACTTGTAAATCACTAGTTATGTCTAAAGTCTGTTTCCCTCCAACACTTCTTTCTAGACATTCTCTTTCCTTTGGTCCTATTGGATCTGCCCTACACAGAATTTTACTCCAGCATTTTTCATTCAGTACAGGGGTTTGTCCTGAAAAAGAACTTCAATTTGTCATTTTAGAGAAGTCACATGACAAAGACTGGCAGACTACGCCCCCCGCCCCACAGAAAAAAAAAAAAATGGATTAACACTAGTGAACAAATTTTGACATGTATTCTGCAATGAAATTCTTTGTGAATTTGCTAATTTCAAAACTACCCTTACTGCCTACACAGTTAAGTTCAATAACCTCTCCAAGTGTTTAAAACACAAAAGACTTTTAACTATAAATTCCTCTAACTAGAAACAATGGCGAGGGGAATGATTTTTCCAAAAATAAGTTGAATCATTTCATTCATTTGCTTGCTTAGTGCTTATAAATAAGGAGTCCATATATAGTTTGCTCTCTCTCTTCCAAAACATTCAACCACCCTGGGAGAGAATGCATAATAAGGCACTGATAAAGCCCTGTGCTGTCTTCCAGCACAGCATGCTACTATTATAAGAGGGCTATTCCTTCTGTTTACACAGTGATAAACAAGAAGACCACTTACCGAGCTGGGGCTGGAGTGCCGCCTAACTTTAGGTGACTCTTTGCCAGTGGAGGAGGTCTTAAAGTTAATGCAAGCATTGTTCTCAGAATGCACCCTCTTTACTTGATTAGTTGGTTTCTCAAATGGGTCAAAAGTGCTCTGTGTCCTCTGAACTCTGACTTTTTTATCCTCAGGAATTGTGTCCAGGGGTTTGATCACTGAGTCCATTCCCTGGCAATTCCGTGTAGACATCTTTGTGACACATATCTGAGAAAAGAAGAAATTAAATTCAGAACTCTTCATGGCAACTTTAATATCACTAAACATGCCCATATATTACTCTAGAAAGCATGCCAATTTCAGTTTCAGGAAATACCCAAAAAGCCCACATTCTAAAAGCTGCATCAGCATATATTACAGTACGGTACAAAAAATTCCTCACAATCATTCTGCTTATACTCACTTAAGGTTTACACTTTAAAAACTATCTCTAAAAAGGGAAACTTAAGGCCTAGACTTCTAGTAGTACCCTAAGATGATTCTTGAACTCAGTCACATGTTTTACCATATGACTGTAAGTGGTTTATTTCTGAATCATTAAGAGGTTGGATAACTGGCCTTAATTTAAAAAACAAAAAATAGTTGGGTGAATCAGATGTGCACTTTAACTGGTGGGTCATCCTGTAAGCCACTAACCTAGGCTAGAGAAAGAAAAGGCATTATGTTGTTTAAAAGTTGTATGCATGAACACATGTGCTTAAAATATGTCTCCATCTTGATTTCATCTCCAAATTGGAATGAATGGAGCTAATGGTTAGAGATGTTAAAGAACTGAGGACAATGGTAGGGGTTTTCTTTATTTCAAAGCAAATGGATAAAAAAGAAATAACATTGTAAAAGAAAAACAGCAAGGAGCATTCATTTCAAAATTTTGTTTACGTTACTCCACTAGACCTCCACTTCCTTCCCTTCTCCTTCCTTCTTCACCCATTCTCTTCCTGTCCATCCTGCCCCACTCTCTCATTTTATTTTAGTCTCTGTGATTTTTGTTCCTTGCTTTTCACTTTATGTTCTAAGCCTGTCATGCTCCCTATACTCTGGAGACTTTGTTGTCCTTATTAAATAATTTGGCAGCCTCTAGCTTGTCTGTAAGACTAGCTAATTTAATTGTTCTCTCTTAAGAAAATATAACTCTAAATAAAATTGTTTTTTAGAACTTTCTTCTTGTAAAAAGTTCCCACATCTCTATATGCTATCAAAAGCAGAAAAACAGAAAATATTTATGAAAAGTCCCATTGTTAAAGTAAAAATATCAAGTTTTTGAATACTTTGGATGCATGGTCGGTTGAGTATGTGAATATAGAACCCACAGAGATACACAGAGTTAATATGTATAGAATGATTCCATGTAGGGGATAAATGTAGCTATGTATATGGATAGATATAGACAGATACAGATATAAATCAGACTCAGATACACAGTTATAGATATTTGTGAGTATATGAGCATGGTGAAAAGTATACAGGAAAACACACCAAACTATTAACATCAGATATTTCCACACATGTAGAATTGAATGGGTAATGGGTAAGATCAGCAATTTTTTGTACACTCTTATATTGTATAAATTTTATAATAAATATGCCAAATTATGAAATGCTTGTAAATCCACTAAAGTAGAAAAGTATGTATAATTAAAATAAGCCATTTCAAGTTTTTTAAGCAAAAAGTTTTTAATTGTTAAACATCAACCCAGTCCTAAGAGAATGTCTCAACTACTAAGCACAGGCTGAACTCTAACTTATTCAAATGAGAAGAGTACTATCATACTTTTTAGCACGTGAGAAAACAGGTGAAGATGATTTTAAAAGACTCAAGGCAGAGTCCTCTAGACATGATCAAAAAGTAAAAATTTATTACAAGTCTTTTGGAGCATGCAATATTTTTAAGGGTTTTTGCGTTCTTCAAAAGGATATGAAGGCCATAGATAATAAATCACTCACATCACCCAAGGCAATTAAATTATAAATACATGGGCCTAAGAAGTCAATGAACTACAAACAGAAAATTTGAAAGAAAAGAAAATGTAAGGGCCTTTAAGTAATTTGAAATCAAATTACTTAAAATACAGAGAGAAAGTAAAAGATAAGGATGACAGAATATAGTTGATAACTAATACAGAAAGGCAATTAGAAAACATCTTGGACTAAATGACAATAACACAAAATATGAAAATGGTGATATTCAGCTAAAGTAGTACTTTAGCTGCAGGAAAAACTGTAATACTAAATGAGTAGAGAACAGCAGAAAGGTCTTCAAGCAATGGCCTCAACTTCCACCTTAAAATACTTAAAAAAAAAAAGAGCAAATATAAAGCAAAATAAGGAGAAGGCTGAAATAATAAATAAGAAAGTGGATATAAATGAAATAGAAAACAGAAAATCAATAAAACCAAAAGCCAGTTTTCAGAGAAGATGATTTTTAAATGATGAACCTCCAGCCAGATAGATAAATGAAAAAAAATAGTAGAAATTATGCTTTGTCAATATTACTATCAGGAATGGGAGAGGTGACATCACTACAGATTGTCTACAAATGTTATAAACATCATTATGCCAGTAAATTCTGGAACTTAAATAAAAGAAATTCTTTGAAAGACAAAACTACCAAAGCTCACTCAGTTAAAAAAAAAAAGAAAAGAAAAACGTATATACATAACTTGGATAGGCCTTGGTCTATGACAAGAACTGAATTTGTGGTCAAAAACCTTACCACAAACAATGCCAGGGCCAGATGGCACCACTGGTGGAGTTAAACCAAACATTAAAGGAAGAGATAACATCAACTGTACAGAAACCCTTTCAAAATATTGATGAGGAGCATATACTTCCCAATTCATTTCATAAGGCCAGTGTCATTTCAACACCAAACCCACACAAAAACATTATAAGGAAACTACAGCTCAATCTCTCTCATGAACACAGATGCAAAAAATTACCAGTACATCTTCAACAAATTGAATGCAGTAATATATTTTAAAAAGATTATAAATTATGACAATGTCAGACTAATCCCAGGAATGCAAGGTTGGCTTAACATTCACAAATGTGTAATTCACCATTTTAAAATACAGTGGTAGGCAGTCTCTAAGATGGCTCTCAATAACACCCACTTCTAAGTATTCATACTCTTATGTAATACCCAGCTCTTGAGTGTGGGCTGCATTTGTTGACTTGTATCCAATAAATGCAATATGGCAAAAATCGTAGGATACTGCTTCTGAGAAAATATTATAAGAAAATGTCTCTTCTGTTTTGGTGCTCTCTGCCTTGAGTTTCTTTCTTAGATCACTAGACCTGGGGAAAGTCAGCTGCCATGCCATGAGGCAACCCTGTGGAGAGGCACATGTGCAGAAGGACTAGGGCCTACAAATAACCGTGTGAGTCAAGTTTTCAGGAGCAACCACAGTTCCAGCTTTGTGCTTGACTGGAATCTCATAAGAGATCCTGAGCCAGCTAAGGAGCATCTGCAAGAGACCCACAGGGACTAAGATTTTTAAAATATTTGTTGTTTTAAAATGTTAAGTTATGGGATAATTTGTTATGAAGCAATAAATAACTAGCACACAGTTTTTTACAAATCATATGATCATCTCAATAGACCCAGAAAAAGCATTTGATAAATTCAGCATCCTTTCACGATAAAAACTCTCAACCAACTAAAAACAGAGTAAAACTTCCTCAACCTGATAGAGAGCATCTACCAAAAAATTACAGGTAACATCATACTTAGTGGTGAGAAACTAAATGCTTTTCACCTAAAAACAGGAACAAGCCAAGGATATACATTTTGACAACTTTGATTTAACATTGTATTTTAAGTTCTAGAAAATACAATAAACCAAGAAAAATAAATGAAGCCATTCACATTACAAAGAAAGAAATAAAATACTCTATTCATAGAAGACATGATCATCTATGAAAAAAGTCTGGTCAAATCTATTTTTTAAGTTACTAGAACTAGTGATTTTTTATCAAGCGTGCAAAATACAAGATCAATATTTAAAATCATTTGTATTTCTAGATACAACAAACAATCAGAAATTGGAATTTTAAAAACTATCACTCATAACAGCATCAAGCAATATAAAATATTAAGTGATAAATATGATAAAAGATATAAAAGATCTTTACATAGAAACTAGAACATGGCTAAGAGATAGAAAAACTAAAAGGAAAATAACAAAAGAGAGGCACCAACTCAAGTGTCTTAAAATTTACTGTGACACTTTCAGGAAGATGTTAATCTTTGTTTCAGCCATAAAATATTAGTAATTTCTTAATTAAAAGGAAATTTATACATACATATTTAAATCAATTAAAGTAATAAATGCATATAAAATGAAAATAATGAAGACTTAATTGATACATGAGTAATGGGGAAATAATGACATGTTTGGACTCCCACTCTGTTCTTGAAAGTCAGAACAAGGAAACAAACCCCACAAAAACACCTCTTGGTTCTGCCAAGAAAAATATGGAGCTAATTTTGACACTATGTTGCATTTTTTACTTAAGGTCTTTGAACCATATTAGGAAATTCGAGTTTATCATACAGAAAACAATTGCTTCTAACAAAATATATGGGGGGAAATTAACAGTGAAGTATAGCTTTGTAGTATATACCAGCATAGCCACAGAAGAAAAAAAATCAGCAAAACTCAGATGACAAACTGGGTATGGTGGCTTATGCATAATCTCAGCACTTTGGAAGCTGAGGTGGGAAGATCACTTGAGCCCAGGAGTTTCAGACTGGCCTAGGCAACATGACAAAACCCCATCTCTACAAAAAATACAAAAAAAAGCTTGAAGTAGTGGCATGTGCTTGTAGTCACAGCTACTCAGGAGGCTGAGGCAGGAGGATCAATTGAGCCCAGGAGGTCAAGGCTGCAGTGAGCCATGATTGTGCTATTGAACTTCAGCCTGGGTGACAGAGCAAGACCATCTCAAAGGAAAAAAAAAGGTGAGATGACAAATGTTGCTTCAGTATGTCATCTAAGGGTACCATCAAAGCTAAAACAATGAACTTACTTCTTAACTAGTACATGTTATCACATAAATTCATAAAAGCCTTTCACTTGCTGCCCTTCATGCTACTGGTTCTGATAAAGCTAAGATTCACAAAGTCGTTTGCTGGCTTCAGGAAAGAGAGTACCTTCAATTAGAAATTCTGATGGTTCTCTGAGCCTATACAACTTAAGAGAAAC